TGGCAGATTGTGGCATTTTCAGCAAAAGGGAACCGACAGTAACATCTTGGATGGGTGATGGAGGTAGTGCCACAATTGCCATCTTGCCCGTTTTGATAGACACACATACACACACACACATGGACACAACTGGACATGAACCCTGTACACCGAACACAAGGCTGAACCAGAACTGGGAAATTAGCAAAAGCCAGGGTAAGCCGAGTCCTCATGTACATGAGCATATCTTGGTCTTTATCAATTCCCTGTCTTCTGGGCTCCAACAGTCGTTGTTATTGTAGTTTTTCTTTGAATTTGTCCCACACTGCAGGATCGGCTTGCTTTTACACTATGCACTCTGATTTCTTACAGTGAAGCTATCAATCCACGTTGTGATGGGATAGTTTTGTTTATTATAGGAATCCTGGTGGCGAAGTGGTTAGAATACAGTATTGCAGGCTACCTCTGCCCATAGTCTGGAGTTCGATCCTGACGGGCTCAAGGTTGTTGATTCAGCCTTCCATCCTTCCGAGGTCGGTAAAATGAGAACCCAGATTGTTGGGGGCCATATGCTGATATTTGTAAACCGTTCGGAGATTGCTGTAAAGCACCATGGAGCGGTATATAAGTCTAAGTGCTATTGCTATTTATTAGATGGCCTGTCACAGAGTCCATGCTTGTTCGGGCTAAGCAAGAGTACTGATGTGAAGTCATTCAGTGACTTCCATGCCTAAGAGAACACTAAAAGCTGGGTCTCTCCACTCCTAACTCATCACCCTAACCATAGACTGCACTGCTTCTCCCTGGACTCTCCCTATATATTTGAGAAAATTAAACAATAGGAAGCTTCAGTCCAATGCTTTGTTCTAAACCAGGGGTGTCAAACTCAATTTCATTGAGGGCCGCATCAGCATTGAGGTTGCCCTCGGGGGGCCAGGGGTGTGTGGCCAGGGGGGGTGCAGCCTACTGGGTGGGTGTGGATGGAGTGGGTGTGGCCTACTGGGTGGGCATGGCCAGCTCTACATCGTTCGCGTCAAGGGTGCCTGTGGGGGCCTGGGCAGGAGTGGGACAGATCTGAGGGTCTCTGGCAGAAGGGGATGGGACCGGGGCAAGCGCCAAGGCATGGTCCATTTCTTCATTCCTCACAAAGGGTGACACCTCCCCAGCATGCACCCAGGGAGCGGGGCCAACACAGCAGGGGCTGGTTCCTCGCTGTTTCCAGACGGCCTTGTGGAGCTAAGACTGAATGCGTTTCAGCATAGATGGCCACCACAAAATTGTACATTGGCTCCCGGCCGGCCTGGGCCAGGGCCAAGGCAGCGGGGACCGTTCCCTCACTGTTTCCAGGATGGCTTCGTGGGCCACATGAAATCACTTCGCGGGCCGCATCCAGCCCCCGGGCCTTGTGTTTGACATGTCTGTTCTAAACTAACATTACTAGCAACATTTTTATTATATGCCTTTACCAAGGTGGTGTACACATCAGACAAATAATTGTAAAATTCCATGCAGTGAAATTAGTTTGAAACCTGACAGCTGAATGAATACACAAAATATTAAACAAGTAAAACAAATTTCAAATTATATAATTTATGCAATGATGCCATGGTACATGTTGTGCTTAGTACTGTATGCTGACTGGGGAATTCTGGGAGTTGAAGTCCATACATCTTAGACCAACAGAAGAGAATATCTATAGCTTAGGGTTGACCTGTGGGTCCTTGGTGCTCTCTGAGCTTGGTGGTTTTCTTGCAGACGTTTCATTACCTAACTAGATAAAATTATCAATGCTAGCATTGATGATGTTACCTAGTTGGGTCATGAAATGTCTGCAAGAAAACCACCAAGCTCAGAGAGCACCAAGGTCCTCACAGTTCTCCTCCTCCTTCCCCCCGCAAACCCCACTCCCTTCTAGCACTGATGATGTTACCTAGTTGGGTCATGAAACGTATGCAAGAAAACCACCAAGCTCAGAGACCCCCAAGGACCTCCCAGTTCTCCTCCTCCTCCTCCTCCTTCCCCCTGGCAAACTCCACTCCCCTTCTAGCACTGATGGTGTTACCTAGTTGGGTCATGAAACGTCTGCAATAAAACCACCAAGCTCAGAGACCCCCAAGGACCCCCAGTTCTTCTTCTCCTCCTCCTCCTCCTCCTCCTCCTCCTCCTCCTCCTCCTTCCCCCTGGCAAACTCCACTCCCTTCTAGCACTGATGATGTTACCTAGTTGGATCATGAAATGTCTGCAAGAAAACCACCAAGCTCAGAGAGCACCAAGGACCCCACATATATTTTAGAGTTGCTAAGATTGAAAAAAACATTAATCTAACGTAACATTAAACCCAGTTTAGTTTTTCAGAAAGGCAGCAATCAACCCCTCTCACCTGAAGACAAGCAGCAGTGTGGTATTCTTTCATGAGCTCTTGAGAGTAGAGAGGCTGTACTGGGCGGAAGGGATTGATGGCCACAAGGCTGCACCCCGCTTTGGTATAAAACACATCGACAGCGTACCTCGCTTGCAGACACTTCAGGACTAAAGGTAGCAGAACATTTTGACAATATTTACTACCTGACTCTTTTGACTGATCTATTTTAGAGACCATTTTCAAAAACAGAGAACATTAAGTCTCTGCTTCATTTGCTAATATCTTTTGGGGCAGGCTGTAATTGCATTCAAGCAAGCTTGATTTCAATTTCATGGGCTTCAATTCCCCACCAATTGCCACGTCGGCTTGGGGATTCTGGGAGTTTGAAGTTCATGCGTACAGATTTAAAGAATCTATACCAGGGGTGGGCGACCTTGGCTCTTTTATGACTCATGGACTTCAACTCCCAGAATTCCTGAGTCAACTGTGATCGTAAGTCGAAGACTACCTGCAATTTCTGCATGATATTATTGTTCAAATGACAAATATCTCTGATGTACAAAAAGCAACTCCTCACTTCAACTGAGTCTATTAAATGAAATTATATTAAAGGTGATACAATGTATGCCACAAACTGATGGTTGATTTCAAGTGAGAGAAGAATTTTCATGAACAGGCAGTAACCTCTCTCTCTCTGTGTGTGTGTGTGCATGTGTGTGTAAAATCAAATTATATTAAAGGCGATACAATATATGCCACAAACTGTTGATTTCAAGTGAGAGAAGAATTTTCATGAACAGGCAGTAACCTGACTCTCTCTCTCTCTCTCTCTCTCTCTCTCTCTCTCTCTCTCTCTGTGTGTGTGTGTGTGTGTGTATATGTGTGTGTAAAATCAAATATGCCACAAACTGATTGTTGATTTCAAGTGAGAGAAGAATTTTCATGAACGGGCAGTAACCTGATTGTGTGTGTATGTAAAATCAAATTATATTAAAGGCAATACAACATATGCCACAAACTGATTGTTGATTTCAAGGGAGCAAAGAATTTTCATGAACGGGCAATAACGTGTGTGTGTGTGTGTGTGTGTGTGTGTGTGTGTAAAAGAAGAGCAGTTCTGAAGTAAACTGTTTTCTTTAAGAGTGTTTTAGCTCTTACCAGATGTGGTGGTGACAGGATTCACTTTGGTAAGGTTACTGATGCAAGAGAATTGTTGTTGGTCACTCAGAAAAGATTCAATTTCTTTGCCCAAAGGGTTATCCTCCCCATTGTGATGGGCGGTGAAGCCATTAACCTAAAAGCAGAGATAGAAGAATTAAGAGACTAACACAAGTAAGGTATTATTCCAAACACTTCAGGATATCATTTACAGGAACCTAAATTTAAAACATTAATAATAATAATCCGCATTCCTGCCATGAAGTCTTGTGAGTTTTCCATTCTGGTGTGATTTCTGCCTTGTTGTTTTACATGAATTTTGCCCTTCTGGCTTCATGCTATCTTGCATAAATGGGTGCCCAGCATTGCAATACAGGTAGTCCTTGACTTATGACAATGGAGCCCCAAATTTCCATTGCTAAGCAAGACAGTTATTAAGTGAATTTAGCCCCATTTTATGACCTTTCTTGCCACAGTTGTTAAGTGAATCATTGCAGTTGTTTGGTAACACGTTTGGTAAGTGAATCTGGCTTCCCCATTGACTTTGCTTGTCAGTAGGCTACAAAAGGTGATCATGTGACCAGCCGTCATAAATACAGTTAACCAAGCGGCTGAATTTGATCACGTGACCATGGGGATGCTGTAATGGTCATAAATGTGAAAATGGTCATAAATCACTTTTTTCAATGCCGTTTTAACTTCAAACGCTCTCTAAATTATTATTAATAATAATAATAATAATAATAATAATAATAATAATAATAATAATAATAATAATAATAATAATAATAATAATAATAAAAAGTTGGAAGGCACCTTGGATGTCATCTAGTCCAACCCCCTGCTCAGGCAGGAAACCCTATACCATTTCAGACAAATGGCTGTCCAGTCTCTTCTTAAAAACTTCCAGTGTTGGAGCATTCACAGTTTCTGGAGGCAGGCTGTTCCACTGGTTAATTGTCCTCACTGTCAGAAAATTTCTCCTTAGTTCTAGGTTGCTTCTCTCCTTGATTAGTTTCCATCCATTTCTTCTCGTCCTGCCTTCAGGCGCTTTGGAAAATAGCTTGACTCCCTCTTCTTTGTGGCAGCCCCTGAGATATTGGAAGACTGCTATCATGTCATCCCTCGTCCTTCTCTTCATTAGACTAGACATACCCAATTGCAGCAACCGTTCCTTATATGTTTTAGCCTCCAGTCCCCTAATCATAGTTGTACGTTTAGGATTAACTGTAGTTACTAAACCCTCAGTTTAAAGGTTTCTTGACAAAGGCATTTGGTACAATGAAATCACATGCATCGTAACATGTACATGTGTCTGGCAAATTCATGATACATGCAACATCATTTGCCTACCTGAACTGCAATTACTAGGTTGATGAACCACAGTAAACCAAACTGGATTCTGGTTCAGTAAAATGTAGGATTCATACAGTAATTGGATTGAATTGGATGAATTGGACTGATGGATTCATACAGGGCTCTAAGGCAGGGCTCTTCAAACTTGGCCTTTTTGTGACTTGTGGACTTCAACTCCCAGAATTCCTCAGCCAACGTGCACGCTGGTTGAGGAATTCTGGAAGTTGAAGTCCACAAGTCACAAAAGGGCCAAGTTTGAAGAGCCCTGCTCTAAGGCATTCACTAGTATAATCTGTACGGTTTAGTTCAGCACCAATTGTATGAACCTTATCATCATTTCGTATGCAAAGACCAACAGTTACAGGGAGTCCTCAACTTACAACATTCCATAGTGTTGTATAGTTGCATAGTGGCCATTCAAAGTTACAAGGGCACTGGAAAAAAACAACTTATGACTATTTTTCACACTTAGGATTATTGTAGCGTCCACAGGGTCACGTGATCAAAATTCAGACACTTTATGACGGTTGCGGTGTCCCAGGGTCATGTGATCACATTTCGCCACCTTCTGACAAGCAAAGTCAATGGGCAAGCCAGATTCACTTAGCAACCAGGTTATTAACTGCAGTGATTCACTTAACAACGGTGGCAAGAAAGGTCATAAAACGGAGCAAAATTCACTTAACAAATGTCTCACTTAGCCAACAGAAATTTTGGGCTCAATTGTGGTTGTAAATCGAGGACTACCTGTACAGTATTAATCTCTTGCATTTTGATTCCAACTGTCACATATCTACCATTTTCATCTGTTAGGGAAATGTAGCCATCTTTTACCTTTTGCTTTTAGAGTTAGATGATGCTGGGAGGGGGGATGTGAACGAGAGTCCAGCTAGACATAACAACATTAGACCTAGTGTGAGAAACAAGGTTATTGTAACCAGAGCTGATAAGGACTTGGCGGGCTGGAGAACTGGAGAGGAGGCCCGAGTTTCAAGCTAATTGAGGAATGTGATTTATGACCGTTAACTGAAGGAGGGAATTGTGCTTTGAATTGATACTATGTGCTCAGGGGAGGGGAATTCAATTTTTGGCTTCGATTATGCAGTGCCGATGTTATGATACTCAAAATAAAGATTCTTTAAGGTAAACAATGCCTCGAAGTTCTTTTGAAGGGTTTCATCTGTCGGAACCATGACAAACAGTTTTGGTTTTAATTGTGGATGAATAATCAAAATTACTCCATCAGGGGTTTTTTTCAAACCTGCGGGTAAACTTTATTTAGTTTTAATTTTCTTCCAAAACTTCGGTGTATTTTGGTAAGTGTTATGAAAGGAGGAACCAGCTACCGGTATGCATGTTAATTCTAACCTGAAGCCAAACTAAGTGAAGCAGCTGTTTAAAACATATACATCACATTGCTACTATTGTGGACTGCCAGAGTTGAAGATAATCCGGTGATTTTTCTCCAGTAAAACAGATCTGTTTCCAGGTTGTTACACATGCGGTAGCAGGAAGAGGAGAAAGCCTGAAGGGAAAAGGGAGGCAGAACAAATTTGCATGGGTGTGGTCTGTGGAAAGTTTTATGAGAAGGGCAAGGAAAAAAAGTCTGAAAATGCTTTTTGATTGCTACCTTCATCCCACTCCAGAGCAACTGGCGGATAATAGCCTTAAAGCCACACAAAATGCTTGTGTCATGGTTCCGACAGATGAAACTCTTCAAAAGAACTTCGAAGCCAAAAACTGAATTCCCCTCCCCATAGTATCAAAGCACAATTCCCTCCTCCAATTACCAGTCATAAGTCACATTCCCCAATTAGCTTGGAGCACGGGCTTCCTCTCCAGCTCACCAATTCTTTATCAGCTCTGAGTTCAATAACCTTGATTCTCACGCTATGTTTAGTGTTGTTATGTCTAGCTGGACTCTCATTCACATCCCCCCTCCCAGCATCATTTAACTCTAAAAGCGAAAGGGAAAAATGGCTACATTTCCATCTGTTGTCAATGCAAAAATATCCAATGTTAGCAGCGTTGACATCTTGCTTACCTATTATTACATGCATACAATAATAGTAATAGTAATAGTAATAGTAGTAGTAATAATAATAATAATAATAATAATAATAATAATAATAATAATAATAATAGTAAAGTTGGAAGGGACCTTGAAGGTCATCTGTTCCAACCCCCTGCTCAGGCAGGAAACCCTATACCATTTCAGACAAATGGCTGTCCAGTCTCTTCTTAAAATCTTCCGGTGTTGGAGCATTCACCGCTTCTGGAGGCACGTTGTTCCACTGGTTAATTGTTCTAACTGTCAGGAAGTTTCTCCTTACTTCTAGGTTGCTTCTCTCCTTGATTAGTTTCCATCCGTTGCTTCTTGTCCTGCCTTCAGGGGCTTTGGAGAATAGCTTCACTCCCTGTTCTTTGGGGCAGCCCCTGAGATATTGGAACACTGCTATCATGTCCCCCCTCGTCCCACATTTATATTTCCTCTCCTGTTATTTTCTCTCTTAAGTTTCTTCCCTCTCTTTACGAAGAATTATGTGGTACAATAATGCAGTTTATATTAACTGCTTTCTAACACTGTTATACAGTAACCACTATTACTACCATATACAATATTTTAAGCAGAAAAGGGGGTAGAAAAACAACCATTTCTTTTCCTAAAAGTCCTATATCTGCTAAGAAGCAGTTTCCCATCTTCAGCATGGAAGAACACTAAAAATGTGAGTTCCAGTCCTGCTTTGGACACAAAGGCAGCTGGCCAGTCACTTTCTCTCAGCCCTAGGAAGAAGACAATGGCAAACCAGTTCTGAAAAACCTTGACACAAGAAGACTAGAAAGACTTGTCTAGGCAGTCTCTGAGAATTGGACACGAGGGAATGGAAGAAAAAAAAGTCTACGGTAATTTACAGCCTTAGGGTCCTTCAAATCTCCCCTACAAAAGCTAACTGGGTCTAAACTGTTAAGTTTCCCGTGCCAAAATAAGATCAGTGTTGTTGTTATTATTATTAGGCAAACACTAAATTCTCTGCAAATCTGCCAGGAGACAATGTTTACCGTCTTATCACAAAAACCTTGATGCCCTGAAAGCTCTTACTTGCATTGCCATTTTTAAGCAGGTAAGAAACAAGACATATAAATTATAATTGAACTAAATATTGCACTTTGTATATCAGAGTTTCTGTCTTAGAGCTATGTAGGAGCCAAGCAATATTTGCTGGGTTAATATAATTCCTTAGAATAAAATATGGTAAAACATGAGAAAAAATGTTTATGGTTACATGTGCTGAGCAAATCCTGGCAAAGTGCTAATTCTGGAAACCTTAATAGTATTAACCGTTAATCAAGCTTAGTGTACGAGCAGAGCCTATGCGATCAGCCTTAAACTGAATCATGGTTTATACCATGATTTCTGGAATAAATTGCCAGCCTATAGGGCAGAACTGTAGAAATCATAACGGCTGAGTTTATCAAACAAATTAAGCCCAGATGTCTTTTTTGATTTTGATTTTCTGGGTTTTGAAAAGTCACCCAATGCAGTTAATGTACTCTGCATTAAGGTTTACCATGGGCAATTTCTGATTATTGGAATTTGATTCCCGTATTCCATTCCATTCTATGCAAATGAGGTCACATTTTGCCTCTTATCAACCTCAACAGTGCAAAGAAAGGGATTAGTACTGACCACAGTACTAGGAGGGAATGAACCAAATCAACACATACCGACTTTAGATTTTATAATTTAATTTAAATCAAGCTAAAACCCCTAAAACACTGAAACAGCCAACAAAGAACAAAGTACTGTCCTGTTTATACTTGCTAACAATAAAGCTACTCTATCCTTAAAACTGAAGATCTATTGCTGTAGACTAGGGTTTTTTCTTTATGAATCACAGCCGTCCTTCAAATAACCTACAATCTCTATACAATGAGTTGTAAACAAGATTTCTTCTCCTCACCCCAAACTGGTTTAAAACAAAACACACATTCAAAATTCAGGATTTACGGGTATAAAAACAGTCTTCTTGAATCAGAAAAAAATATTAAATTCTTAGTGCCTGCCTTCTTTTTTCTGCCTCAGATTAGAGCTTCATTTAGAGGTCACAATATTTCTTGGACACACAACCCCCCCCTCCATGAATAAGACTTAGTGCAGTGGTGGCGAACCTATGGCACGCGTGCCAGAGGTGGCACTCGGAGCCCTCTCTGTGGGCATGTGCGCTGTTGCCCCAGCCCCGCCTCCCCGTGGCCCCCACCTCCCCAGCAGCCCCCCTAGAAGAGAGCTGCCCCCAAGCGCGGCCCATGCAGAGCAGCGCAGCCAAGAACATGGCAGCTGGGCAGCGGGGACAAGACTCCACCCTCATGCCCCGTCGCGTGCAGTTGATTCTGTGGGGTGCAGGCAGAGGGCGCGGCTGCCATGGCGCTGCTGGGCCGCCTGGGCGATCTGTGGAGGTGATGGGTGGCCCTGCGGGCAGGTGGGGCCCGGATGGGGATGAGGTGGGGCGGAGCGAGCAGGGTGGGGGCGTGGCCTGTTTTTGGGCACTCGGTCTCTAAAAGGTTCGCCACCACTGAATTAGTGGAACTGCATTATAAGCACTGGGTAGAAGGTCTTTGACTGAAAAAAACCCTCCAATTTGATGGATCTACTGAGAAGCTGATGGACACAGAAGACTACTACAGCATTGTAGCACAAGGTCCAATTAAAAACAAAAACACAGCGATAATTCTTTTAAAGATCAGTTTTAGCCTTAGCCTTATGCCAAATTTGCCCACTGCATATTTATCAAGGAAGAAAAAATTAAGTAGAGAAAGCCACAACAGTTGCAAACGGAAGTGGCAACAAGGTCTGGATTAAAGTAGAATATTAGGGTCCCATTGTTAAGCAACCCAGTCCAGGCTTGGCAACACAAGTTGACTGAGGTTACAAGAGTTTTGTCCCAAATTTTTAGCTAGGAGCATTCCAGATAGCAAATATGAGGCTATACTCATGATTTATCAAAATAATATGTTTAATTGGGTTCATACACCATGTGTAGCCATAAACCAAGGTTTTGTCAAGATTTCACATGTTATGCCAGCCTTTTAAATAGATATCAACCTCAAACAGCCTTAAAAATCCTCCAGTTTCCTTCACCCTTTTCATTAAGCCTAAATTTTTAATGTAAGAAAGTCCTGTTGAAATCTATGGAGCTTCTCATATACAGTAAACATTTCATTTTTTTTAAAAAGCCACTTGCCTCTGGCTTAGTAACTTTAAAGATTTACCACCGGCTGACCAAGCAGGATATTTCAGTTTTTCACATGCTGGAGGTAGATTATCCTTATGAGATAAAAGTTCCATTGAGTTATGACATTGTACTCATCAAAAGAACTGACTATCATGCAGACCACCAGGAACTATTTGGTGACTGAACGAGCTTATTTTGGACATTGGCAAAATTTTAAATTTGGCATTTATATTCCAGCCCTTTTAGTATGACTGCAAAGGTTTGTATACAAATACAGATAGGGTCACCATTACACTATACCAAAAGACTTTTTTTTTAAATGTGTATCATGTTAATTACAGCGAGCCAGTATGGTTTTAAAGCTAGGATCAACTTTAATGTATTGCATTGACCTCCTATACTCATTTCCTATAAAAGGGCCCTTACCTGTTATTTTTTGTTAAAAAAAATAAGCTATTGTTACTATTGGATAACTTGCTACAAAATCCCAAGGTGTTTTTTTTTTTTTTTTGCAAATGTTGGGATGAAAAGAACGCCAGGTCTCTTAGCTGTCGCTTCTCTTACACAATCTGGTAATTACTTTTTCCAATCTTCTGCCAAGATTTCTCCCCTCCCATTGCTTAGCTTCGCCATGGGAAGGAAGAAAGGAACTTCGTCCATGCGCAGCCAAACTCTTGCTCCGTTTACACCTACCTATTTCTCAAACGCTGAGGGCATATTACGGGGGGCAGACCGAGCAATCAGTGGTCTGGTTTAGCTATGGAGATGGGGGGAGTGGGGGAAGGAGTGGGGGGAGAGAGAGAAAACAGAGCGAAGTATTGCCCAATCGGACTCACCCGCCGCATATAGATATAGATACGGAAAGTGGAGAGAGCTATAAATCGGAGTTTCGTGGTGGTCCTGGGGAAGCCGAAGCAAATGTCCTCTAACAACAACCGGGGAAGGAAGGCCTCGAGGTCGCTCCCTACCAGTCCCAGTCCAGGCAAAGGCGGGGCAGGAGGAGCAGGAGGCGGGGAGACGGCTGAATTTGAATCGGCGAGGCTTCACTCCCGGGATTGAGCGTCCCGCCTGCGGGGTGCGGAGCCCAAAGCCCTGGGCCGTTTTTTTTTTTTTTTTTTTTTGCGGGGGGGGGGACAGAGAAGAACGGCGGCGGAGGGCTCTTTCCTTGAGGAAAGGGCGGGGGGGGTGGAGGAGAATCCTGGATTCGGCAAAGTTTAAAACTCTTCTCCCCCCCCCCCGAAAGATGCAACCCCTGGGAAAATGCAACACGTGGCCCGGTGGAAGGTAGCCGGGCCTGGAGTTTGCACCACGTGCTCGAACGCTTTGCGGTGCGTTTTTCGCCAAGCGAACTTCGCGAAAGGCGCACGAACTTCGGTGGCGTCGATTTGATGTTTATGTTTTTTTGCCTGTACATTCTTCGCATTGCAAGGACGCACGCGCGGTCCTGCAAATAAAGCAGCTGCTCGATTAAAAGGGTCGTCAAGTCCTAGTTTTCCACTCGAAGGCGTTCGGTTCACGTCGTAAGGGGAAGGTTGTCACACGCAACGTCTGAAGAAGTCTGGAGGAAGCGCTTCTAAACGGGCGGAGACGCCAAGCGCAGGATTTGCTGGCCTTGGGTTGTTTCAGAGTTAAAGGAAGGGCAGGTTAGGGATTAGTGTCGAAACCGTGGTCTGTTTTAGGTCTGTTAACCCAAGTAGTGTTAGAATTAGAATTACAGAGTTGGAAGGGATCTTGTAGGTCATCTAGTCCAACCCCCCCCCCCCCCCGCCCAAGCAGGACAGCCTACAGTGCCAGGGGTAGGCAACCTTGGCTCTTTTATGACTCGTGGACTTCAACTCCCAGAATTCCTGAGCCAGCCAAGCTGGCTCAGGAATTCTGGGAGTTGAAGTCCACGAGTCATAAAAGAGCCAAGGTAGCCTACACCATTTCTGATGGATGTTGAGTAGAGATGCTCCCAATTTGATGAATGTCAGGTGGGATTTTTTTTTTTCCTTCTGTGCAAAAATAATGGACTTAAGAGATTTGGGTCCAAGTTTTAACAAGCCTAGAACAAACCCTCTTGTCAACGGGACCTCTTTCCGGTGTCTTTTGACCTTATCTAACGGGTTCACTTTAAGATTCAGTAAGGCTCTGGTTTAGAATGGACGTGAAGGAATTAAGAGATAAGAGAACCTTTATTGTCATTTATTTTTTTTTACGGTGGGCACAACGGCACACATCAAAAATGAAATTTAGTTGCCCGCTCTCAAAGTGAAACACAATTCTCATGCATATGATCGGAACATAATTTTGCATTTATTTTTACTATTTTTGCTTTAGTCTTCTGGGCTTTTAAATAGGAAACGAGCATGCATTGCTCAAACAGCGTGGTGAATCAGGCAGTACGGTTTAGTAGGATATTTGCTGATGAAAATGTCGCCAGGAAACGAATTCCTTCTTTACTTTTTTTTGTGTACACGGTATTGTAGGCAGCAGGAAGTTTAAAATAGTCCGCAGCGGAAGGCAAAAGGAGAAACTGTATCCCAGGCTTCCAAACGTAATATTCTTTTCAAAAGGCAATTCTTCTAAGTGCGTCATCCTGTGGAGGAAATATTCTCATTTAACCAACTCAAGTCCCGCTTATTATTTTTTTTTAAGGAGTTGGTCTTCCTGGTGACTCATGCAGGTTATTCTTTCAAAGCATTTCCGTGTGGATATTTGAAAAATGCAAAGAAATGGATAATTCAACTGGGTTTTAAACTGCTTTTCTCTCTTCCTGTTGCCGTCTCCCAGCCTGTCTGAATTAATATCCAAAGCCTGGGGATAAGCTCGTATTTATTTGTCAATTGCTTCAGAAGGGCAGGTCCCAGACTCGCTCGCTGCCTAGAGAGCAGCTTCCAGGGGTATTTGGTTTTAAAATCAAATTTAATTATTGTAACCGTTCCTGTTAAAAGGAAATTAATTTTAAATATTTTAAATTTCCTGTGATTCTTGTCACAATTGGGCAGCGCAAGTGCCTGATTGGATACTTAATTGCTTGTTTGATTTTACTGCTTNCAGGGGTAGGCAACCTTGGCTCTTTTATGACTCGTGGACTTCAACTCCCAGAATTCCTGAGCCAGCCAAGCTGGCTCAGGAATTCTGGGAGTTGAAGTCCACGAGTCATAAAAGAGCCAAGGTAGCCTACACCATTTCTGATGGATGTTGAGTAGAGATGCTCCCAATTTGATGAATGTCAGGTGGGATTTTTTTTTTCCTTCTGTGCAAAAATAATGGACTTAAGAGATTTGGGTCCAAGTTTTAACAAGCCTAGAACAAACCCTCTTGTCAACGGGACCTCTTTCCGGTGTCTTTTGACCTTATCTAATGGGTTCACTTTAAGATTCAGTAAGGCTCTGGTTTAGAATGGACGTGAAGGAATTAAGAGATAAGAGAATCTTTATTGTCTTTTTTTTTTTTTAACTGTGGGCACAACGGCACACATGAAAAATGAAATTTAGTTGCCCGCTCTCAAAGTGAAACACAATTCTCATACATATGATCGGAACATAATTTTGCATTTATTTTTACTATTTTTGCTTTAGTCTTCTGGGCTTTTAAATAGGAAACGAGCATGCATTGCTCAAACAGCGTGGTGAATCAGGCAGTACGGTTTAGTAGGATATTATTTGCTGATGAAAATGTCGCGAGGAAACGGATTCCTTCTTTACCTTTTTTTGTGTATACACGGTATTGTAGCAGCAGGAAGTTTAAAATAGTCCGCAGCGGAAGGCAAAAGGAGAAACTGTATCCCAGGCTTCCAAACGTAATATTCTTTTGAAAAGGCAATTCTTCTCTCTTAAGTGCGTCATCCTGTGGAGGAAATATTCTCATTTAACCAACTCAAGTCCCGCTTATTTATTTTTTTTAAGGAGTTGGTCTCCCTAGTGACTCATGCAGGTTATTCTTTCAAAGCATTTCCGGGTGAATATTTGAAAAATGCAAAGAAATGGATAATTCAACTGGGTTTTAAACTGCTTTTCTCTCTTCCTGTTGCCGTCTCCCAGCCTTTCTGAATTAATATCCAAAGCCTGGGGATAACCTCGTATTTATTTGTTAATTGCTTCAGAAGGGCGGGCAGGTCCCAGACTCGCTCGCTGCCTAGAGAGCAGCTTCCAGGGGTATTTGGTTTTAAAATCAAATTTAATTATTGTAACCGTTCCTGTTAAAAGGAAATTAATTTTAAATATTTTAAATTTCCTGTGATTCTTGTCACAATTGGGCAGCGCAAGTGCCTGATTGGATACTTAATTGCTTGTTTGATTTTACTGCTTTTTTTTTAATTTTTGTTGTCAGCAGTTCAAAGAGATGTGTTGATGATTGGTTTACAAATAGCAAAAATATTATTCTATGCGTTGACATTTTATTCATTCTCTGCCCCTTCCTTCTTTACGGGAGAAAAACCTAAACTCCAAATTTCATATTCAGCAATGAGCCTAAAAAAGAGATTAACATTTCAGCACTCTAGACCAGTTTGGGAATAAACAGAATTGAAATGGAATGGAGTAAAACCGGATGTGTTTACTGGAACACTATAACCCAGCTCTTCACATTTTGTACTACAATGTTTTGTTATAAGTTCAACATGCCTTGTCAATCAGAATGCATTGTAAAAAAAAATTGAATTTGTAGATTCCAAAGAATAACTATTTGTTTTTCAGCAGTGAGGAGGAATTTCTAAGGAATCGGCTAGCCAGAAAAAAACATGCTGAGAACAGTGACGAATCTTCCTTGAATTATCTGCTTATGCAAAGAAGTACTTATTTTTGATTACATTTATATCTCTTTATTTCTTAAGACTTCTACTCTACCTTTTTCACACAGTATTTTCTCTTCCACTAGTTATATGGAGAAATAATGAATAGAAATGTGCCAAGGGATGAATGAAAAAGAGAATAGCTTTATTAACTGAGGGGCAATTATTTTTCTGTGTAAATTGTACTGGTCGCCTTTTCTGTTTCTAGATCACAATATCTTTGGTTAGAAGATAATTTCTTGCACAAATCTTTCTCATCTGATTCCCAAAATTGTTTATAGGGCTGGAGAAACCCTTCAGCTCAACAGCAGGAGTGAAAGCTGTTCCCTTGGCTCCTCCTAGACCAGTGATGGTGAACCTTTTAGAGTGCCCAAAAACCTCCCCGCCCCCCTCCCACCCCCTCTGTCCCCGTTCCGCCCCTGCCCCGCCCCACCCACCGCCTCCAGGGCCCGCCGCAGATTGCCCAGGCGGCCCAGCAGCACCATGGTGGTCATGCCCTCCGCCCGCGCCCTGCAGCATCATCTGCACACAACGGGGTGCGAGGACGGAGTCTTATGCCTGCTGCTCGGCTGCCATGTCCTTGGCTGCGCTGCTCCATGCCGTCCGCACCTGGGGGCGACTCTCCTCCAGGGGGGCTGCTGGTGAGGAGGGGGTCATGGGGGGAGGCGGGGCTGTCACGACAGTGCGCATGCCCACAGAGAGGGCTCCGAGTGTCGCCTCTGGCACGCGTGCCATAGGTTCTCCACCACTGTCCTAGACAGCTTTCTCAAAATGTGTGGACTTTAATCCTCACTGTTTTTAAAAATGGCCCTGCTGAACAATTCTGAGAATTGAAATCCAACCAATCTGGAGGTTATTGGAGACAACTTTAGAAGGTGACCCCATCAGTGGGTCAACGGACTACCAGAAAAAAAACAGGCTCACATTGCACTTAATCACATCTGAGGTTTGGTGAGTTGCTGAAAAATGGTCCAGTGCTTGAAATGTCTTACACAGCGCAAAAGTCTTGCATGCCATTCCAGTCCAATAGATGTCAGCTGAGAGAATGATAATATCTGTGGTGGGCTACGTAGATACTAGCCATAGACCACATGACCTCTCACCTAAGTGTTTCAAGTTACGGCATGATGATAATCCTTTCATTTATGGACAAGTTGAAATAAGATGGCTGGGATGTCCATATCCAACTTTAATTCCCAGCATAAGTGTCTGCATACAGTAGAGGGAGTGAGCAGAGGCAACAAGCAATGATACATTCTGCATGATGACACTGTAGCTGAATGTCCATAGTTCGGGTTGCTGAAAGCCATTAGTGGATATTAATGCATTAATGTAGGATGATTTGAATATGGTGGAAAAATGGGCTTGGTACGTCACTAGAAGCTATTTTCTACCTCAGCTCTTACCAAATGGTTATAATTCTACACTGCTTCTTAAAACTGTGATTTTCCAGATATGCTGAGAATGACTGCTTGTTGGGGATTCCTTTGTATCTGCTATATGTTAATGTGGAGAAAGCCAACCTAAGGATTATTATAGTTGAACCAACTGAGAAATTAAGAGTTCAACAAAGAGAAGATGGTTCAGGACAGCTGTTTACAGTTTCACCTTTTTGTCCAGGGATTCTGAGTTGAAAATAAACGGGGTACAAGCCTTACTGTACAGGTAGTTATCAACTTGAAACCATTCAGTTATGACAACCTCCCCAAAAGATACAGTACCTAAAATCCAGATTTGAAATTCAAATGGCCACACTATCCTTGCATGATTGCATTTATGGTCATTTGCAGCAACCCATGACTGCAATTTATGACTTTATGGCTGGAAACTGGTGTATGCTTCCAGTTTCTGGCAATAAACGCCCATTACAGACAATGGATTTGTTTAATGACCACAACCATATAGTTCACTTTATGACTGTCACGTTTGCTTAAAAGCCACAGCAAAAAACTAATACAATTGGGCACAGTCACATGATGAATCCCTTAACGATTTAGTCATAATTCTGGGGTTCATTACGATCATAAGTCGAGGACTGCCTGAGGAAATAATACATTACTGCTACCTGACATTTTTCTTCAACTGTTCCCAAAACTAATGTCCATTGTTTTATCCAATAAATCCTCTATTGTACATTGAGAAACTGGAAAGTAATTTCTGAAAGGTGGGAATCTATCTTGAAGTAAACTCAGTTGCTTGCTTTTGGCTCCTGTTTTACTTGCTTGCCATTCTGATTTTTGTTTTAAATGTAACTTTGCAGAGGCTGAAAAATGTCACAGCAACTGGTAAAAGAAGCCTTTCTAAGTAACCTGAATGGAACAACCTTACTTGAAATTTCTGTTGGCTTACCTCTTGCACCATTATGCGTTCTTACCAGAGGGTTGCTCCTAATTTTCTATTTTCTCCATTATGGAAGACCTTTATGCTCAACGTATGGCAATTTTTTTCTAGACTTTACTGTTTTAATCGTCCCTCCGGTACTTTCCTATACAATTTTAGCTTCCGTATTCCCTTTTGTGATCCTCTCCATTATGGTATTCTGCATAGGCTTGATTTCTATCATTTATACTAAACGGACAAATTATGCCCAAGTGTCACATAAGCAAATCTCAGATGATTTCCTGAGAACCAAATTGGACCCGGAATACATTCCCTCCGTAACTTCGCTTCGAGTGTTCATCAATTTGTGGACATCCATTAGCATCCTGGCTGTAGACTTCCCACAGTATCCCCGGAGATATGCCAAAACTGAGACTTATGGGACAGGAGTGATGGATTTGGGAGTTGGAATATTTGTTTTTGGAAATGGTGTGGTTTGTCCAGAGGTTCGGCTGAAACCTGGTGCAACGCAACACAAATTCTTTTATCTCTCAAGGCAGTTGTTGACCGTATGGCCCCTCCTTCTCCTTGGCTTCGGACGACTAATGAGTGTTAAAGCAGCTGACTATTATGAGCATGTCACTGAATATGGGGCACACTGGAACTTTTTCTTCACTTTAGCTGCTATACGAATAGGTGCATCGCTGCTTCTGACTGTATTCCCTGTGCACAAAGCCTGGATCGCTGCAGTCATGCTTGCTGTAGTTTATGAATGCTTTCTTGATGTTACGCCCCTGAAGATGTTTATTTTGCATGGAAGCGATGGGCAAGATTCAAGGACTGGTTTTCTAAATGCCAACAGAGAGGGTATATTTTCTGTCATCGGTTACCTTGCTGTCTACCTGTCTAGCGTGCAAGTAGGTTTGTATTTGTTAGGAAAAAGAACAGCAGCAAAAGAGTGGCTTAAAGTAATCTGCTACTTTTTACTGGCAATTCTTCTCCTTTTTATATGCCTCCACATTGCTCAGTTGTACTTTGACACTGTGTCCCGAAGAATGGCAAACCTTTCTTTTTGTATATGGATTGTTGCTAGCTGCTTGATTCTCTTTAGTTCTTTTTTAGTGGTTGATCTCATTCTCGTATTCACAAAGCTTCTTGTGGGTGGGGCTGATATTCCTAGTAGTTGGAATGTTCTGCACTCATCAACATATAAAAAATCTAATTTGGAATTCCGGCACAGAAAGACCAAATCTCAGAGTATGTGTATGATCAATGCTGTGAACAAAAACCAGCTTCTGTATTTTTTGCTAGCCAATGTTTTAACTGGTCTTGTAAATATGCAGGTTGATACAGTACACAGCAGCACACTCTCTGCCATGTTAATAATGCATTTATATATGTTTACAAACTGTTTGGTTATGTATTTATTGCAAGCAAAAAATATAATTTTAAAATGTTGGTAATTTATAAAACTGCAGCAATGTGTCTAGACAGCCCCCAGGCGTGAACACTGACTTGAAGGTACAAAAATATTGCCAATAAAAATTATAAAAGCTGCAGTTCCTTTATGAAATATAAACCCTGGTATTTTTCGTTAGATTTATATGCATGAGATAGTGTAATTTTTTTTGCTGGAATATTTAGTAACCGACTTATGGGAAATGGAAAAGAATTATTTTTAACCAGAGGCTTTTTGCCATGTGATAGTTTGCAAATTTTTGTGACATCATGAAATATAAAAGCCATTATCATTGGGTTGGGACAATTTTTTATTTTGTAAGGGATTAAAGGATAAAATTTATAAAGACAAAGGCACCTGTTTTGATTTTTATTTTAGAAAAAATATTTTCATGGTGCAATCTGAGGTCCCCAATATGAGTGCTGGGGGGGGGGGGAGTCGTGTGGCTTGAAGGTTCTTGTATGTGTTTTATTGTTTCTACTCAGCCCAACTGACATATATAAATTTAGCCTGACCCAAAATCAAAATGCCATTTTATGTGTTACTGTAGAGGGTGAACCCTATCATAATATTTATGCTGATAAGTGATCAGCATTTGCTAATACTATGGCATATATAAATATACGCATGTCAGAGCTGCTCTTACAGACTTAATTTAAAATATATTAAAAATCCATGGAGTAACAAAATTCATGTTTCCAAAATAAAACATGCAGTGCCAAGAGCCAAATCTATTGGTAACAATAGACAAACAGCATGTAACCTTAGATGTAAAAAAAAAAAGCAAAGTTAAGGTTCTGAAATCAACTTTTTACAAATTACTAATAAAACACATCACTTGTTTATAAAGAAAAATGTATATTTTTCTAAAGGTCATATAATATTTTTATTAGAACAGCGGCTCCCAACCTTTTCTATACCCCGCACCCCTAGAACGCTTCGGACATATTCTTGCACCCCTTACAAAGGTTCAAAACAAATTATGCATATACACTATAATTTTGAAACTTCTAAACCCAGGTTACAAAGAATAGAGGCCTTTGAACTATGGTGCTGGAGAAGACTCCTGCGAGTCCCTTAGACTGCAAGGCGTTCAAACCAGTCAGTCCGAGAAGAGATCAACCCCGACTGCTCTTTAGAAGGCCAGATCCTGAAGTTGAAACTCAACTAATGAGAAGGAAGGACTCACTGGAGAAGAGCCTGATGCTGGGAAAGACTGAGGGCAATAGACGAAGGGGATGACAGAGAATGAGGTGGCTGGATGGAGTCACTGAAGCAGGAGGCGTGAACTTAAATGGACTCCAGAAGATGGTAGAGGACAGGAAGACCTGGAGGAACGTTGTCCATGGGGTCGCGATGGGTCGGACACGACTTCGCAATTAACAATAACAAACCCAGGTTTTCGCACCCCCTGGAATATCGTCTCGCTCCCCCAGGGGGTGCGAGCACCCCCAGTTGGGAACCCCTGAGTTAGAAGATCATAAAGATGCATTGCTTGTTAAGTAACAAGCTCTGAACTCTCAAAAGAGTATGGGGAAGGTAGATTTCAATATAGAAATTGAAGACAGCCATTCTACTTAGGATTGTGAAAATGGATCAAATGCTACCTACATTACCTTTGTTATAATTTACCATTGATTAGGGAAAGAAACATCAACTAATATACAAATACTGTAATTTAGAAAGTAAAGTTCTCATTTCTAAGGTCATCACCTCAGCAATGAGTAGTTTGCAGTGGAGCCATGCCCAACAAAAGTCATTATACAATAACGTGCCATTTTCAAGTCAATGCAATAAAACAAGCCATTTGTTGTACTTGTTCTGAGACACCATCAATTTATGTAAAAGTACCAGTATTTATGCAACTGAAACTTGGCAATCACACTGAAAAAATGTAGTGCATACAGATAGTACTTGATTTACAACCATTCATGACTAAGGTATCTAATTATCACTAGAAAGAAAGGGCCAGAAAGAATGAAAGTCACACCATAAGATATTTATTTATTATTTATTTATTTATTTTATTGTTCGAATTTATATCCCGCCCTTCTCCTTGCGGACTCAGGGCGGCTGACAATCAATTAAAAACACCAATAACAACACAAAATTTAAAATTAATTAAAATGAAATATTTAACTTGTCTAATTTAAAATATAATTAAAAACTCCTCTAAAAACCCCTCTTAAAAATTACCCTAG